TCATATATTCAGCCATCCTACAAATTTCGCAACATTATTTAATTTAAAATGCTAAATGCAGTAAAAATGTATATACAATTTAAAACTCTGCATTTGTATTTGAATGTAATGTGTAAAAATTAAAATTAATTAATTCTCAGGATTAAGGAAAATTATGAATATAAAGAAGGATTAAACTAGCTATACAAAACTATTCAGTTACATTCCGTAGTAAGAAAAATAATTTAATCATTTGTATATTTTTATCAATAGTGTATATTTTATAATAATTTTACCATTAGTATATTTTTTGCGTTACCTTTTTCACGTATGACTGCCTTAAACCTAGAAGACATTCATTTGACCAGCATTTATGTCATACTAGCTTTACCCGCGGCTTCGCTCGCGTTGATGTCCTTAAATAAGTTTCAACTCCGCGTAAAATTTCAAAATAAAGAACATTCGAGCGCCTTAAAATGATAAAACAAAATTTTTTATGTAAAGAATAAAATGTAAAGAATATAAAATGTAAATGCAATTTTTCAAGCAACAATAACAAAAATATATAGCACGAATGAATAGATCTTTTAAAAAAATACGAAATAAAACATTAAATATATCACAAAAGTCGAAATGTTGATGATAGTTTCAAATCGCTATTAATTTTAAAATGATTTTCCACGTCTAAATCCGTGAACTTTGACTTTTCGCCAACCAACGGTCGACCGGATACCAGCTCCCCCTTTCCGTCGCTTTCGAGTCGCAGCCTGTCAACAAAGAGTTAACAATAGCAAGCGAAGTATTGTTTCATCTGTGATCAAGCTGGAAATAATTAAGCGAGTTACACCACCATTCTTCCTATCATTCAGAGAGCGGCACAAGTTCCTAAATTTCGAAAAATTTGGATAATTAGATCAAAAGTTTTCGCCAACCCAACGGTCGACCTTTTTATCACCAATTTATTGGACCCACACGGGAAGACTCAAGAAAAAATCCCTAATGTCGCTAGTGAGTCTCATTCAAATTAGCGTTTTCAGAGTTTTTAATTAATATTTCAGCTGATTAAAGTCGTACGAAAATGAGAATGATATCGATGGATTTCGACGAATTTTTGGAATCAGCGGATATGTGTTTCGAAATTCAACTGACCGCCGTTCCATTGATATTTGTGAAAGTATAAATTGGCGCGTAGCCAGATCTCTTTAATAGAGAAAAACCCAACAAAGTAAGTGAAAAATTTACTAGAAAAGTAGTTTTTAATTAATATGGGCTAATTAAAGTCATACGAAGACATTTTATAGCCTATAACTTTTTCTGATGTATCAAAAATATTTGTTGAAAATTTCATGATGATCGGTTCAGTAATTAAGGCGTGAAAGCGTAACAAACAAACAAACTCACATTTGCATTTATAATATTAGTAAGAATTGCTGTTAATTTTACTCATTCCTTTTGAAGACGCAGTTCAAGTAGATTTTTATTTTTACTGAAATTTTCTTTGAGAGTTACCACGAATGAGCGCGCAGATAAAAATGCGGAATACTCTTATTTCCATCTGCATTCAAATTCCGACGAGTGGGGAGTTGTATGGAAGTTTTTAAGGTTTTCCCCCGTATGTAACGTGAATGCAACCAAAGAAAGTTCTCCAGGAAAGCGTTTTTTCCCTTAGGCAGATAGCCCTCATATGCTTTGCCATAATCAGCTAATTAAAAGATTTCTTCAATTCTCCTCAGAAATGTTCCTTATATTTTTTGACTGATTTCATGTAAATTTTTCCTTGATAATTTTGCTTTAAAGGTCCGTTTTTGCTGGCAGTCTCACTTTTTAATTTTTAGTGACAGATGACTAATTATTTTTTTATTATTTACAAGAGCTAATTATTTTTTATTTTACTTTATATTGAATTAAACTATAACTGTGTGACGGAAAAGGTTGATATATATAGAGAATTTCAGTCATAAATCTTTGTGAAATGTGTAGCTCTAAATGTAGTTTTTGTAATGAGCCTGGACGCTCGAAGTCAGAAATATGCGTTTTTCACTTTGAATTGAATGAATATGTTAATACCAAAAGTTCAGACCTGAAAATATCAGTTTCAGTCCACTGTTTTAATAAAGGATTTTGCTTTAACTTTTATACTCACCTGGTTGTGCAGTTCTAGGATGATAAAACTTTAATAATTAATTATTTTATGCAGTAAACCGTTCCGGAAATGGCGCGAAATTGTAAAATTCTTTAGGTAACTGTAATTATTTCTCCATGATTAGCCTTTGATATATATTTTTAAAAAATTACTGCATAAAAAGTTTGATTAAAAATAGGAAAATCATTGCTAGTATCCCTTTTCAATAAACGTTCAAAAATTCCTTTGATCATACGTTTTTAGAGCAGAAGTGAAATCTTTTGAGCTATAAACTTCTTTCTGGAGATATGAATGGCAGAACTTTTAACTGCGTTTCTTGAGATCCAATCAGAACTGGAATTTCAATCAAACGTTCCTTCTTTCTTTGGCCTTTAAACGAAACACTTATACTTTTGAAGTATGCAGAAATGGATTTTTAGAAAACTGTTTGCTCGGGTAATTATTTCTCTGTGTAACATTATGGGAGTGGGAAGAAGAACGGTTATCGAAAATGAATGCGAGATGTTCAGGTCGTTACTTTTCTACGTGAAGATTTCCAACTAGAATGAAATTCACTGACGGTTTTTCTTCAAGGACCTTAAAAGTACCCACAAATCGATAAAGTTCAATTTTCTCTGTTATATCGTCAAGGTGATGCTTTGCAACTTAAAAATAGATTTTCTTTGCCAATGAATATATTTGTAACTAATGTTCTTTCAGAGTTTTCCCGAGTATAATATCTTAATGTACCCTTTCAAGTCGTTTTTACTTTTCCTTTATTTTCTGATATAAATTAATCGTACTCGTTCCTTCCAATGTACCTTATAGTAATTTCCAAATTTCGTGCGTTTTTATGCAGGGCGTTTCGAAAGCTGTGCATGAAAAAAATTGCGATTAAAAGGAAGAACTTCTTAACTTTTTTTACTAATATTCTTATTCTATTGTTGGGAAGTGCTTGAAAATCTCCGAATGAGTTTCATTTCGGAACTAGCTAGATCGAAATAAGTTATTTTATGTGAGGTTTCGAATTAAAGCAAATTGGTTATAACTTCTGTGTATTCTGTTCGGAATTTTCGTAGTTTTGAAATTATTCTAGTATTATGACAATTACACTCAAATCCAATTCATATTTACGTGCATAAAGTCATGATTTTCTTAGAAACTGATTTTATGATTTTGTGTCAAATGATACACAACATCATAACGCGTAAATAACGAGGAAAAAGTTAAAGAGAAATGCATATGTTAAAAAGATGTTGCATCAAATGATAAAAATGATAATAATGTGTTACAAAGAGAATTTAGGGGGGGGGAATTTAGAAAGGCCTCTGAATTATGTGAGCTTCCCTGACTTGTACACATCCTATCTTGCCCTTATGCTAATAATAACACTGTTAACCAACCACATTTTGAGGAATAAAGTTTCATTCATCTAGCAATGCGGTTACATCTATAAAAAGAAAAATGTCTCTGTCGAACAGCTTTTCCAAGATAGTCCTGTAAATTCTCTGTAGGGTTAAGATTAGAATTTGCTGCCATGGTATTCGCTCAATGTCTTCACATTGAAGAAATTCGCCTGCAGGGTTTACTCCATTAGGATGAGCATTATTGTCAATTAAAAAAAAAAAAACAAATGCACGTCTGAAAAATTTTACACAAGGTATAAGACTTCGTCCTGATATCTCTGGTTGGTCACAGATTTGATTTTAAAACATGTAGGGAAGTACGTTCATCGATCATTATTCCTGCCCATACCAAACAAACGTGTGCATTACCAAAACGGAGACTTTCTATAATACTCGAAAGAAGATCGCATTTTCGGACACAAGTTCTTATGTAAGTCATATTTGGTCATGGTATGACAGACCAGCATGTTAAGTTTGGCAACGACCTTTTGAGACACTCTGTATACGTCTGACTATACTGGTTGTTAGTCTAAACTAAGAACACTAGATATGGGAAGCATGGGCATTCGGGGAAGAATATAGTTCTGTCATTTCTAGCAGCTGATCAGAAACAAGAATAGACAAAGAACATGTCAAGGACCAGTAGGAATAGATCTCGTTTTTAGGGTATGTAACGAGACTGCAAGTTGTCGGTAACCGAACCATACTCCCCTTTCTCTAGTTTGCAGTAAAAATAAGAATATATGCAAAGCTATAAATATATAAAATATATGTTTGGTTAATCATCGATGCCCTTTTTTGTTTTCATATGCTTTGAAACGCGTGTTCATTTTATATTTCATTGGTTGAGCACATATATGCAGCGCTATCGTAACATCGTGTGCGGCGTCTTTAAAGTAAGAAATGTAAAATTAAATGCATAAAATGCTATTTTAAATTGTAATTCCTCCCCCCCCCTCCCTACCAAGAAGTGTCCTTCCGTAATCGCTTTCTGCCAAACAATAACCACAAAAGCTCCCGCAAGCACAACACAAATAAAGACGGTCCTGCCCGCACTAAAAAAGGACGTTTATTTTTGGCCCGTGATAAAAGTACTACTCCACCCTGGTATAAATTGTGATACGAAAATTGGCTGAGGTTTCTTATCATTTAATGCAGTTTGTAGTAATAATGTTTTTGCTTCTGAAGCACAGGAAGCTGCGGCTCGAGGGAAGAGGGATTGACCTCGAAATCGTTAAAACATTATTCAAAATCTATTCCAATCTAAGGTTACTTTTTTACGTAATTTTAAAGACATTGATTTCGTTTCAGTAGCTGCATATGCTACTTAATCGGAAACTTTGAATTCGCGGGTCCGGCTTCAAGATTTTTCAGATAAGGCAGTGGAAATGATATGTACGATTGTTTAAACTCTGCATTTGATGTGTTGTTGAGAGCTTTGTGTTTATTCTTAATACGGTTATTACATATTTTAAATCTTTTTCTTTGTGCAGTGACCAAGTACATCCGAATCGGGATTGGTGACAAGAACGATAATCCACCATATTTCGAGCAGTCATTTTATGAAGCCGAAGTCAACGAAGACGAGGACATACAGCACACGGTCATCACTATCACAGCCAAGGACGAAGATCAATGTAAGTGTTTTTAATATCATACTCTCTTTCATATTGTGCAGTAAGAAATATCACATCTTAGGAGTAGTAGTAACGGAGGATATGGGCACCATCCCTCTACCATTACGGTTAATCGGTTCTGTCCACGTCCGTATCAGATCTTAGGAGTACAAGAACTGTAAGAAATGTTTTCATAGAAGAAAAGAAAAAAAAAATTGTTTAAAAACAGCGATTGCGATATATTATTATTTATGAAGGGCGACAGTATTTTTTATAGTGGAATGCTAAAAAAGGATACTTCACTAGTCTTGTTCCTGAACTTCAGTTTGAATAAGACTATTAATGGGGTATTATCACGAAATCCAGATCTGGATTAGCAATAGAATCCAGATCTGGATTCTGGCACTGGAGAGTGTATAAAATATCCAGATCTGGATATTTTATACACTCTCCAGTGCCAGAATGATTCGTCATTGGCGCATTTTAAATACCCGAATAGGTAGGTCATGCCTACTTACAAGTGAGCAAACAAGATCGGATATTGCTCAGTGAAAGTAGCCATGAATTAATTTGATGATGGTACTACCATGGAACAAAGGATCGCAATATTTCTTAATCTGTGAGATTCTTTTGAGCTTCCGTAAATACGTTATAGGTAGAACGAGTGCCTGTAGTACCAGCAATCTTAATGTAAGGGTTTCTGGGCTATAATTCGGGCTAACAGAGATTTCAACATTCTTCTGCATAGATATCTTGATAAGATTTGTAGTGAAAATGCTCTTGTTAGTAGAAACCTTTTGATCTGTTCGCACGGGACTACATGTCATAGGTCATTCCACGAGTTTTGACATTATTAAGTCTTTTGCCAGCATATTATCATTTTTGACATGTTAATAGAAGGCCTTTGCTTGCAGGTAAATGTAATAATTCAAACCGTTTGAATTTTAGTATGATCACTATACGTGAAGAGAGTTCGAGATGATAAAAATGTACAGGAATTTCGTGTGGGGAATTAAGGTTCTCTTGAGTAGTGGACAATTTTGGGTCATCTGCAAGTGTTGAAGTTTTTTAATTATATGCGCTGATTATCTGAGTAATTCTAATCAACCCGTTCATTGAACGTCAGCATTTAAAAGCTTAAAAGGAAAAGTTTCTAAACTGCGCTGATGTTATCGGACATGAATTTAATGAAGCAAACTGAAATTTGCCTTTCTTGTTTTCTGAATCGCCGTCCAGCGATAAAAAATGGTCATTTAAATACAAGATTATAGAACTTGTAAAGACACTGAGTTGATAGAAAGTCGTACGAGAGACCATGATTTAGAGAAGATAATGTTATTTGATGCGATATGCAAAAAATTTCTTTATTGTAAGCCACGGATAGAAAAATGATATAATCGTCAAAGCAGTGTATTGGAAGTAATCTGGCAGGTCTGAAGCTACACACTGATGAAAAACGAATGACTCTGAGTAACAGAAAGGGCGTGCTTTTTTTTTTTTTTTTCATCATAACAAAACAGAATCTCAGGTGACACGAAGCTGCTGCGAAAATTAAGGCATGTTGAATGGGAAATTGACTTAGTTTCCATATTCTCCTGAATTGGCACCATCAGAATATTCCCTTTCTGCAAAGTGTTTTGACTCAAACATAAATACGGTGCCACATCTACAAGCTACCCTCAACAGCGCGATCGAAAGAAACATTTTCCATAGTTTTTATTTTTTATTTTTATTTATTATCTGATTGCCTTATGAAAAACAGTTCTTTGCAGAAATTGTACGAGGGGCAACGCTTCAGCTTCAGCTAAAACTGGAATCCTTTAGTGGTAAGCAACTGACAAGTTCGTTTCTCGAAAAAGTTTCTTCCAGCTTCACGTATCGTTAAGATTTGATAACGTTATAATTTTTTTTTGGCGGGGTGTCTTTGCAGAAGAGAATTAAAACCTGTTTACGGAAAGTTCTGTCAAGAAGTTGTGTTAAAAAATGTGAGATATTCGGTCACATCCATGTGGTCTCTGTCAAAATTGAGCTGGTGCTTTACCCCTCATGCGTTTTTCCTAAATTAAATAATTCCAAACGGGAACAGAGTTTTTTATTTATTTATTAATGCTTGAAAAAGTGCTTCTGTTGTTGAGTTTTTATCGGGACATGGATTTGTAGAGTCAGTGTGGCTCTTTTAAAAATCCAAATTCATTATGATTCTGCAAATTGTTTATTATTTTGTTTATTTATGTGAAAGACTGTTTCTCCGTGTTTCAGAATGTCGAAGCAGAATAAAAGTTATAAAGACAGAAAATTATGCTTAAAACGTCTTTTCATGGTATTATAAATTTCAAAAATTAATGTTTTTATAAAAAAAATAATTGTATGAAAAGTAATATAATGAAATTTCGTCGTAGATCCTAATAAACAATTTTTTTTTCTTTTTATATCTTCATAAATAATAATAGTAATAATAAGGTAAATTTTTCTCTCCATTTAATCATCTCTTTTTCCCTCCTTTTCTTTTTCCATTTCTGTATGAAAAAGTAATAAAATAATTGATGGATTGTAAGAAAGGGCGCGTTTTTCGTTTTAAATTTCATTTCATTTTTGGCTGCAGCAGAGCATACTTCAGAAGAGGAAAAAGTCTTCACGTTATGGCTGGTTAGGATATTTTATTAATAGAGGCGGCTGCGATGCATTAATTTGATTAGTTTTTAAAATGGAGGCAGAAAAGCATTACTGGACTGAGGAACTTACTGCCGTTGTGCAGGCATATGCGTCACTAGTATTATAGCATGTGCGTCACTAGTATTATAGTGTAGTTTGTTGCTTTAAAATAGTCATCTCAATGTAACTTATTTATCTTTTAAGCTCTAACCATGGTAACTGCTGATGCTGCAAAGATCTGAATCTCCAAATTCGCTTTTCTTCCTTTACCTTCGTTAATGCTGGTAGTTAACGCCTACTAGCATTAAAAGTGTAGTCCTAAATACGTTAGAGAAAACCATTTCAGTGAAGGAATATGACACGTATTACAAACGGAAACAAGGAAGAGATCTGTGTCCATGGGATGCCTATTTAAAAAAAATTTAGGATAGGAATGAGGAAAATGAAAAATAACACTATTGAAACTATTACAAATTACAGTTGAAAATTTGTCGCTCGTGTATACCGGACGTAAAACCGCTCGTGTATACCGCTCGTGTATCGAACTCGTTCGAAAATAAATAATAATTCCTCATGAAATGGACTGTGACCAGAGTTGCCATATTTCGTTTTACGTCTTATTCATGATTGAAAAGTGTTGCGGAGTATGATAGTTATTCCTTCAACTTCATCATCTTTTGTTTTAATGGTCATATGGGCATCGTAAAACTCGGTTTGTCTTTTTAGGATTACGAGCCGTTCAAGCATCGTGATTAGTAGCCAAAAGTGTCGTAAAAACTTGTCCTTTCGGCAAAAGGACGTGCCCCAAGCATGATGGGAATGTATTGCGGAGAAGAGAAGATGGTTTCGTATTTATGGCAGCATTCATTTCGGCATATCGATCCCGGTTTTCCGTTGCCCCTGAATAAAAGATCACGCTTCTTAGCATGAATGTATAACTAGTAAAACAGCAGTGAACAGGCCTTCCTTTTATAAATTGAATTGGAATTTGATATTGAAATAGTCATGTCATTCCTTGCCGTGGATTGGATTCCAGTAAATACTAGATTCATTTTCGGTTATCGTTTCCAGAATCCATGTTTTTTTATGTGCGAGTGAATTTAGATCGGAGATCAGTAATGAATAATCTTCATGAGTGCTTCTTGCTGATTAGTATCAGTTTTAAAGTTTATCCAGTTTTAGAGAGATGAAGCTTATTACATCGTTAAAAAGCTTGTACTCTTACTCTTCGTTATGGCGAGGATATCGCATTTCAACTTAAGACATAAATGTGTTCGACTTTTTGTCGTGCTTGCAATCTTCCACGGCAGTGGTTACCATGGTTACGAGACTAGACATAAGAGAGAAAAGTGACTTTGAAGTGTTTATTTTAAAGTAACAAACTAACCGTATAATCCCTTTCCCGTGTAATGTATATAGGAAACTCATTCTGAGGTGTTCCAACGGTTTTTGGTTTTGCGTGAAAGTAGTCGTCCTAGAAAGGGATCTCCGCATAGATATTTTTTACGTTCGGAGATATACTGATAAAAAGCAGAGGTCATCGCTACGAGAAGGTTTCACTGTACCTTGTTTTTCCTTACTCAGTCGTCTACGAAAGCATCCCAATCCTTGTGCAGGTAGCCCTGATATACTTTGAATCTTTGCATCTTTAATTCCAAATTAGTAGTTGTATCCATGGCGTCATTAATTCAGTCCGAGAACTAAGGTACAGATTTTCTTTTCAAATGTCTTCAAACGTTTTTACGTAGAACTTTCTGGGGTTTGATGATTATGCTGATTCACTGTAACAACTTATATTTGAATTCTCAAAAGGGTGTCAAGACGATTTTGAAATTTTTGTTTCCACCGGTGGTACAAAAAAAATAGATTTTCTATTTGTTATAGGGCTAAACAGTGTTGTACGGAAAAGATCGCTTAAGACCAGTAGCTGTACCTGAAATAGGATTCCGGAAAATATGCTGACTGCAAGAATTTTTTAATTTTTTTCCCATGTATGAACGAATTTGAGTTTCTCTTAGAAGATCCTTCTCGTAGCTTTCCAGTCCCATTACGTAGGCAGTCCTAATAAGCTCTCCCATAATCAAGTAATCCAAATCCCTTTGTTATGGCTGAAATATCGAAAATTGCATTGCAGCTGTCATTAATATGGGTGTGATTAGCAGGCAGATACTCATATGTTAAATATAAAACTGGTTTCTGAAATCCGTTTTCAGTCAGTGCTTGTGTTGGTATGAAAGCCGGAGAGATGAAAAATTAACAACGCTTTCGCCCCGGGGATCGAACCGCGAGCCTCTGGAATACCGGCCCAGTGTGGAAAACACTACACCACGAAGGCTCGCTAAGAAGACGCGAGAAACACCTTATATAAC